CGGAATGTCTGAGTTGTTATGGGCCGAATTTGGTTGTGTGACGTTAACGCCAGTTCAAGCGAATTTAAGCTATATCTTTGATTTAATTTACAGGAGATGGCCTAATTCGAATTGTCTCACGGCCGTAAACGGTGTCAATACTTGTTGAAACTTCTTTTTTTATCACGGCTTGCTACTAATCGCAGTCTAGAGGCTTTACATTCTATCGTGAAAACTGAAACGGAGTTCACAGAATATCCAAGTTGGAAACTTGCTTGATTCTCTGGAAACTACGCACCACAAGACGAGTATAACAAACATCAGCTACGTTGAAACATCCCACTAACTTCAACTAGCTAACTTAAACTTATGAGTAATATTTTTAAATGTTCTGCATAACTGCTCAAGTTCCGTGTAACTGCAGATTTTACGCCCTGAAAAATTTACGCGCACATCACGCTCATAAAATAACTCAGGGGCAACATTTTTTATTAATCTAATTCTAACATAAACCTTGTTTAAACGTTATTTGAATATTTTAAAAACACATTTCTGTCCTTTGCTATTTTTCTTTGTACTTTTTTTGGATCTCAAAACAGCCTGAAAAGTGACTCATCCGTGGCGTTACAAGGAATTTGGAAGGGAAAAACAAAGTGCCCTTCCTAAGAAGAAATATTGTTGATGAAATGTCGTCTCGGGACTACCACTCGACGATTAAAAAATTCTCAAAATTATTTTTCTCAAAAGTATTATAAACGCAGCAATAATTTCTTCCTTTCGCCAGTTCCAGTCTAATTTTCTAATGAAACAAGGAGCAAAAACTTAAATTACACAAACTACATGTTACGTCCAACCAAAGACGACATCCTAAACACGGGTATCCTCAAATAGAACATTTTAGGTTCTTCCATCATCGCACATTGATATGTACAACTCGCTTTATTGGTCTTCTCTACTGGGGTTAACATCTAAATATTGCTTACGTTTATACGGCTATTGCCCATGTAACAAGTAATGAAAAGCGAATATTTTAATTATATTAAATATTATAGTAATTATCGTTCAGAGTGGCGAAGGATCTCTGCCCGTTATTTAATAACAACGAAAGGTCAAAGAGATATGAATAGAAGCTGCGAAGCAAACCCAGAAAGGGCCAGGTATTAGCCCAGTTTGCTGTACAGCTCCCGCAAAAATCAGTCTAGAAGGGAATCCTACAAAATTCAGCATCTATTTAGCTGTTAATTGTCTTACCTCTCACGGTTTCAACGCTCGGTAACAAATTTCCTTGTAAATGGGCCCGCAACTAGTTTGAAATTAAAGTTAATTACACAATTTGGCGCACGATGACAGGGCAACTTACACGAATCCTCCACGGTGACGCGAACAGTCTTTGGCCCTTTCCAGCCAATTGCGAGCCGAGATTTTTGTTTGGATAGTGTTGAGTTGCGGAGAGCTCCCTGAATCGTATGGTAGAACTGGAGGTCCGAATCTACTCTCGATATCTACTGTGTTTTCGCTCTACCTTCTTGCGTACGCTTCTGTTTAAATTCACTAGCAGAAACGCTGGCAATCTGCTTTAATGACAAACACAAGTCGAATGGCGAAATTAAATTGCCGTTTTGAACGAATCGGCTACACTGACGACCATGCTGGTAATCGTCATTAAATGATGCGATTATGCCGTCTTAAGCTTATGATTCGCAAGTGGCCGTAACGTTAGTGGGGCCAGCGTCGAGCGATTAGTAGCCCTGATCCGTCTTTCCCTATCGCGCGCGCGCGCGATGATAGGGAAAGCTCGCTTCAGTGTCTCTAGTAGTCTTGCCTTTACCTGGGTTTTCGCTCTAGCAAATAAAAAAGAATAACGGCTATTAACAACTAACGTTAGTCAGCTTAGTGGCGTTGGGAGACGACATGAGCAAACACGAATGAGCTTAGCGTCGGGCATGATTGAGAATAGAGACCCAGTTGCTCACTCAGCTCGGGTCGAATGTCTTCCTCTTATGTGCATTTGGCAACAAGTGAAGACGAGGTAAATCAGACGACACTGACGACGCTGACCGAGAAAGACGCTGTAATTATATTTGTTATAAGAAATTACTATAACGTGACAAAACTCGCGGCCAGAGGCATGTCTGGCCGAAATCGCGAGGCTCCGACGCAATCGTTAGCTACACTGGCGGCTCTATCTAACCGTCGTTTCAGCTGCTGCTGCTGCTGCTGCTGCTGCCGCCATCATCACTGCTCACGATGCTGAAGCCAAAACATTCGGAAGTTGACTGTTTTGAGATGTAGCGGAAAAAACAAAAAACTTAATTACTGGCCCTCTAGACGTGCTCGATGCACGCAGAACCGAACGCTGAATGAATAAGAACTAGATGAAGAACCAAGCAACATTCCAGACATGCGTACAATTGTGAGACAGCAGTAGTGACTGGTTACAAGCGCTAAGCCTGTGTGATGTTAGCGTAATGTTTTGGTATCAGTCCTCACCGCCTGATAAAGGAATAGAATAGTGGTGATGGCTACGAAGCCATACCCGAAAGGTTAGGCGGGTTGCTATCGATAGCAACCCATGACCCGACCCGGCAACGTCACTCGAACGCTAGTATCATTTCCACTAACGGGATAGCCGGGATCGACAGCACCCTCGAAGTGAGAGAAGCGAGGAAAGAAGAAAATCTTTATTACCTGAACCTCGGAACATTTATAACCTGTTACACGTACGCCAGGAAACATGCAATGATAGGGTGAAGTGATGGGATGTTGTGAGCGAGCGGCGGTCGCTAGGATTGTCTCGCTTGCGAGTTTCTCACGGCCACGACCAGCACTACCGCCCCCAACCCCGATCGCCATTCTGAGGCTTAACATACTCTAGAGTCATCACAGGAGTGACCAGGCAGTAGCTGGAAAGCAGGTCTGGCCGGCTCCACGATCTGTTAGCCCGAACCCAGATAACCCGCCGTGCGTCCCGAAGGCATCCCAGTGGCTGGCAACCGCAAATACAGCAATGGCGAGGGTGCGGTCTGATACAACAACCACCATTACCAGCCAACCCTTTCACTAGTTGGCGAAGTATCTACACATTATGGAGTTTCACTAACTCTTCTTCGCCGTAAAAGATACGCGCGGTCAGGAACTCAGATATAGAATGTCTTATAATGAGTTCCGTTATTGGTGATATGAATGAATCTACAATTAAACAGGTTAAATAAGTTTATTTAATTATTTACATAGAAGCCTTCATGTATTGGGTTGTCGAAAAAGTATTGACCTTCGATTGAAATTAACTGCACCCAATAGTTAGAAAGAACGCCCTGTTCCGCTACGATAATGCTCGACTACATGCATCTTTAGCGATTCGACAAAAATTGAGAGAACTTTCATAGGAATACATATATATATATAATAGTGCGCTGTTATCGAAATTTGAGCAAGGGCAATTTTTATTTAATCTTCCCGCGCTTAACGAATTCCTACCAGGATTAAAAGCTTCCTTTTTTTTTACCCGAAATCAACGATGCATGGTATTATCCGTCTCCAAGCGCCTGTTGAAAAATCCAACTGGAGGATCCGCAACAGCATTTAGATTTGAATGTTTTGAAGATGCATCAAAACAACTTAAGAAGTTTCCTTTGGAACATCTGAGTGTTCGGTAGAAAAATGGAGAGGAGCATCCCAGTTGTTATTGGGTTGTCTAGAGGAACTTCAATGATTGGTCTTTTCGAGCATTTCCACAAACTTTTTGTTTGTAGAATTTGGTCTGCTTTCATCCCATTTAGTTCTATTTCTATGTCTATTTACACGGTTGTTTTCTATTATGATTTGTCACCTACAAATATCGCTGTAATTGTAATATTAGAAAAGCTGATTTCGCAATAAAAAAAAAAAGGACTGTTTTGAAAATAACTAAGTTTAAGTTCCGAAACAAATATGTGATCGCGTTGAATGATGGCCGTATCGAATAAACGTGACAGATAAGGAATGACACATCTAAACTATGCCCCAAAAAAAAAAAAAGAAAAAAATCATTAGAAATGAAGCAAAGAAAAGATTCTAAACTCAAACAACCACTCTTTGTATAGAGAAAGAGAGTTTTTGAGTATTTCTATACGCAGGAGCATCAAACCCTTCGAAAGCCATTACCTGAGTTAGTAGTTTATTAGCTACCATGGTACATTGATTAACTCGAAGCTCCGAACCACATTACCGTAGCGGCCTCCTACCGAAAATGCTAGTAGTGGTATCGAAAATGCCATGTGGCTGCTGACCACTATAAACAATTACATTGTTCAGCTTCAATACCTCTGCAGTGGTATGTATCAAAAAGCGCCTCTTCTACCTATCTGTTCCCTGTCATGGCCTAAACTCTTGAAGCAGTATAACTTGACCGATTAAACTTAACGTTACCGCCAATTGCCGCTCCTCCCGAACACCCTCTTTCCATGATCGGCTATCAGCGTACTTAAAATAACAAAATGAACAAGGCGTCGCAGAATTTTTCCTATTACCTAGCTAAGGAAACAACATATATATACCGTACATTTTGTCACAGATGTCGCAGTTGACAGTTACTTCTGTTAACTTTGCAGATAGGCAAGGGCCAAGGAGTTAAGGGAGATATCTTCGTTGCCCAAGGCATATTCCTCTGGTATGAAGGCGGAATCAGTTGCAAAAGCATTGCCACTCGGAGTGTTATATGTTCGCCTGTATCCTAAAACGTGCCTTACGTTTCCTGGTACATTGTTGAGCGCTTACGGCAATTCTTGGCTCTTTCGAGCGAAACAAAGTACAAATGCCGGTCTTCGCAACATCTATTGAAGAAAAAAAATTGTTCAGAATGAGGATGAAAAATCAAGATTTTCAATCGTTCGCATACTATCGTTTGAACATGTCTATCCAGAGCCTATAGCTAGCACGAATAAAAAATCACTTTTTTTTTTCAAAAGAATTAAAATATATAATTTATTATAGTTATTATGATAATTATTAATTACAATTTCTATCTATCTCTTTTTGTTTTTATCATTTTTCTGTACACAGACAAAAACCCACCCATGCTTACATTCATACGTACATTTATTAGGTATTAACAATACTTTCTGTCGACAAGCTGAATATGTATGCTACAATATCAATGTATTGTTCATGAATAATTTAGCAGTAATTTTTGTTAGTCGATAGTTTTAGGCAGAGGTGAAACTGTAATAAATATACCACTTTTTTTTTTAAAATTTTCAATATACAGTTTTCTATTATACTGCCCTAGATGTGATTCGTGTTTTGAGATGGGTCGTCTTCAGGACTGAAGATAATGATGGCTTTATTGGTTTTCGTTTTTCAGTGAACTAGCCAAGTCGAAGTCGACGTGAAGGAAGTCAGCATTGACTCTGCTAGAGAAGCAAGCTTTCTAGGTACGAAGGAAGAGCAAAGCAGGCAGCAATATTTGCCGCGAGAAAAAACGCAGGCCAGGCCGTACTCGTTAAGGCTATCCTGTGTCGCAATTAATATAAAATCATTGTCTCAGATTGACAATTATTTGAAAAGACTGTTTCATTATAGTCGGTCCTAATTTGTCGGACAGCAGGCTTAACTGTACACAAAATTGCTTTCTAAAAACTTGAATAAATCTACGCTTCGGGTATTTACATGTAGTCTATAATCGTCAAAGCTTTTTCCCTTCACGTCGTATTTGAGCTAAGGAAGATCAGCGACAATTTGTTTTTGTTACTAAGTCATATTGTCAGAGTTCTGAGATGCATCAGAGCTGTTGAGGACACTGAGACTTGGGTCAGTAGATATGCGATTAGCAAAAGTTACGTCTAGTTTGAGTTTGAATCACTCTGTCTTCGGAGCTCTTCCTCATGCTCTCGCGCTTTGAGACGAAGCATCTCAATACTCAGATTTACTCCTGGTCCTAACGGTGCCTTATCATCAGCATCCTTGGCAGGTTTCTCCTCACCTTCAGCGACGGTAACACTCGTCTTGGCACTAGTCGGCGAATCCTTTTGGCTGCTGGCAACGTCGGCCACTTCGATGTTCATCATTGGCGAACGAGAACGTGACGATTCGTGCGACTTTGCCGAACCGGCCGGAGACGGACTGCGGCTTTGGCTGTCGACTTTGACCTGAGCAACCATCGCCGCTTGAAGCCACGCCTGAAGGTGATTCGCATACGAGCTGCTAAGAGCTGGTGGCAGAAACGGGTTGAACTGAGGTGAAATACTCATGCCAGGCAACATGCCGGGTAAACTTGGTAACCCAGGCGGCAAGGTCATAGCAGGAAGGGACAATAGTGGAGCAGAAGTGGATCCACCGCTTGGGGGTCCTCCGGAAGAGAAATGCATCGAGTGACGCTCCCCCGTAGTTTGCGCTTGCTTTCGGCCATAAATCGAGGCAAACGCTGCGGCAGCCGCTACGGAAGGTTGCGCAGCCGATGGTGCTCCCGATTGTGAAGATCCTTCTGGAGTGCCTGCCGCTGGTAAACTCTGTGGAGTCGAAGCATAGGGATTGAAGCCAACCCCAGGATTTGGGTTGCCGTTAGCCTTCTCCTGCTTACGCCATTTTGCGCGCCGATTTTGAAACCATACCTGAAAGTCAGAGGCAATACAACGGCGTTAGCGATGAGGAAGCTACAACTAATTCAACTCAGTGAGATGGATATTAATAGCAGTAATTTTGCATGAAACTCTCTAGTACTCTAAGGAATCGCGGTACTCAACAAATTAGCCGAAAGATTTTGTGTGTAGAACGGCTGATCGTAAAAACGCTGTCGCATGCTTTGACTCATTGTAAAGTCTTTCATCTTCAGCTTAGAAATGCCCCTGATGGCTCATAGCATGGCTTTGTTTACCACAGGTGTACGTGCCAGTGATATTTCGTACGACTTTGCTACCAGAGACAGCACTATTTCGATAACTGATCTCTGTTTATTTTTGTTTGTCACTGTTTTAGAAGGATTGTTATTTATAAAATATAAATAAACGACACTAAAGAAAATAGGCGACCAACATAGTATATTTAAAAGTTTGGCATTGCTTTTTTTTGTACACAGTCACGGCTTTGTCATATTGCTAACGTCTGTGAACCATTGCGTAACCCCCCCCTCCCCCCCCCTCGAAGAATGCTGTCCGCCATGCTGATTGGCGCACCTCTCTAATGCAGAACCTAGCTGTTGGGCATCTACAAAACTGAATGACCGCTGAGAGACGTCTGGCGTCGGGTCAGCGATAATATCACAAAAACCACCCCGCTGCTGCGGTACCGGGCAACACTACTAGAAAAATAACTCTAATTCTAATAGAAGTGGTATTATAGTGGCAACAGTCGCGCCGATCGCTGACACCACATTCAACGCTACCACAAATAGACAGGACGTACTGTCTCGCTGACACGGATCATACTAACGTGACGTTTTAACATCTAACTCACTTTCTGTTTCCTTCTCTTCCATTTTTCTCTGTGTCCCTCTCGTTGTTTGGTACTTGGTCGCATTTGAAGCACATTCATAGAGCCTGTGACTACGCAGGACTTGACTATGGAAACACGACATACATCAAAGAACTGCTCTTGGCCGGAGATAGGTGTCTCATTTCGTAGTTTTTCCCTACGTCACCTAGTCTGGCGGCCAGCCACTTTTTGTGTTTAGGTCGGCATTGGCGCCAGCGCATGTAGGCTGAACCGTTCGGGCAGACTTTGGCGCTCGCGACGAGCGGTCTGGCCAGATTTCTAGAGCCTGTGCCCAGTCACTGCTCACAACCAGAGCAGTCGCTACTCGTCGTTGTCGCGTTACTTTGGGCTGTTGTCATCGTCGTAGACGTGCGTCAAAATTCAAAATTCCTCAAGCTCGTTCACGCGAGTATCCTTATCGTTCACGAGCTCACTTCGTTTTCACCAGGCCCAACAGTTTGATCGAAAAAAGTAAAAAAGAAAAAGATGTACAATAAAAACTACCGCTAGACGCCTTCGTATATCATCGACGACCATATAGCTTTTGTGTATGGTAGCAAGGTCCGCTGCCAGGTCTGAAGTATACGGTGCCAATGAGGACGGAAAGCAACATGCCATAAAGGTAATTTGAACACTGCCGGTTCCAATTGTGATGACGAGAATAAGAATTAAGAGAACAGGGTAGCGAAAGTGAATCGGACATGTCGGCAGACCAGGGGGTGCTCCGGTTTACCTTAGCACAATAAAGTAAAGGTTAACAAGTAATCATATCGCGAAGTTTTCTGTGCCGCAAGACTGAAGTTATGGTTATCTGTCTGTTCGACCGCTTTATTACTGCTATTACGTTGAATGTTTAAAAAGCCCATCAGAATTTTTCGGTTACCTTAAGAACAGGTCAGCGGATTAAACGAAGGAAAACAATTCTATGAGCATCACTGATTTGGCTTACTACGAAAGCAGCGATGTATGACAGCTTCAAATAGAGCCAACTCTATTTCAAATGAATGACCTCACAGTAACATCGATCACAGAACGATATCTGAATCTATGATCGCTTGCATCCGGCTTGTTCTAGCAACGATAGCAGTACATAAACAGATCGCACAATTGTGCAGCCAATGCAGATATATAAATTGTGCCTGTCCTTTGTTTATCGAGTGGTTCTGACAACATAACTGATTAAAACCTGACGCGCATCCGTCGTTCGTGCCGCTTTGGTCTTTCGTTTGACGTTAGGTTTCATCCAATAGAAAACCGAACGCGGATCGTAACAGATATTTTGTCATCTATTTCGCTGATTGAACTCACAAAAACCAATGCCAAGCAAGCAACAAAGCAAATAGCCGGCGATCAGAAGCAGCTCCGACCGGATCATCGTTTCAATTAGATCACAAACTCTATTGAACCCGCAATGCGACGCAGGCGCCCATATTAGCGCGCTTGATCACGGATGGAGGCGTACCTCCGTTGTTCATATAAGGAGTGCGTATATACCAATAGAAAATGAAACATTATTAGAAAGCGATACACCAGCGAATCGGACAGTGGGACACAAAGGTGGGATGCCAGGTCATGCTTCGAACGCTCCGCGTTTAAAAAATTTGGGCAGACATCGAGCGTCCAGGCTACATTTTTCAGCCCTCTTCAGTTTAGTTGCTCCTGCAGCCGCTTATTCGAAGCGTCTATAGTTTCTTTTTTCACTTCTATTCTACTAGTCTACATCTTTACCTTAACTGTATGCTGTCTGTTCCTTGTACGGGGAACTGTCACTGACTGTTAACGTAGCAGTAGACACTACTCGCCGCTACCGACGCCGCCACCGCCGTTCTGGTAGCAGCGGTCAGTCAACAACAACGACAGTAATAATAATAAGATAAGCCATTTAAATGAAGCAATTTGGCAAATATTTCGTCTGCTGCAGCGGCGGCGGCGGCGGCGGCTCTCTGAACTCCCGCTGTCGGAAGCGGTGTTGTCTCAAGTCATTGTTATTGCCGTTAGCGTCATGGTCTATTTTTTTTTTCTTGTTCCTCGCTGTCGTTGTTCTCGTTCTGTTTCTTAATTTTTACACAATTAGACATTTATTAGACAAACCGCTGGACTCAGCGGCTACAATATTATGGCGTCGTTGTGATTCTACGATAACGTCAAGCCTCGACTCAGAGCTACTGACCGGCTACCGATGCAATGGTGGTTCTGGGAGCTCGAACAGCCGCCGGCAAGATGTTTGTCCTCACATTTTGTTAGTTCTTTCATCTGCTCCCCTTCGTTTTTTTGTCGCAACAAATGCACTGGTGAAAATACGACGCTAACAGAAAAAACAGCAGCTATCGTTGAACAATGTCAAGCGAAAGGCCAGCAATTCGTCGTGCGAGACCTTCGGAACAAAGATAAGTAGCGCTAGGAAAAATGCTGCGTATTTTACCAATCCGTGTTTCTCCCTCGCTCCCTTTTTGTTTTTGCCCCCTATTTTCTCTTAGTCGTGCATTTCCTTTGAGGCAAAAACAGGACAACGCTGGTAACGATCAAAAAGGAACGAAACGATAGAAAAGATGATGAAGGCAAGGAGGCGGCAACGGAGTTGTTGAAGCGGCTTCGCGCTCTCAAAATAGGCCATAAAATAAAAGACAGAGCAAAAAGCAAATGGTTATTGAGACAATTAAGACAAGGTGTGAGACGGTAGAAATTCTGCAGCTTCACTGCAACTTCACTAGTACATGCATGTCTTTCTATGTGACCAACGGATCTCATACCCCTTCGGGTTGTAAAGTTGATGAAAGTTAAATGAGGACGAAATCATAAAAAAAAAAACAGTAGTCCTAATAGTGATGGCAAAGATGAACGCAGCCGCGCATGGCATAATACTGATATCCGCTTGACGAAATGAGCGCTAATGATGGTAGTCAATGGTCAATTTCTCTTTCAATCCCAATGCGAAGCTTTTCAAACCAGTTTGCGGCTAGTGGCCACACCAACAACTTTCCTTTATCTAGATGTAATCGGCAACAGCATAAAATTAGTTGCTTATTAAAGATGTGTTTATAACAGAACAAGCCGAACATGAAATTAACTTTAGGACGAAATGCCAGCACCAGTAACTTGGGCATGGTACCTCATTCGTGGGCATCTTTCGCAGACGCATTTAGCATATATATATATATATATACATATGAGATCGAGGGAGAGAGAGAGAGAGAGAGAATACAGATTTTCGCCGTACAAATTATTATCAATAAAGTGATCGGTGTATACAACCCCTGTCTAATATGATTAAATCAATGGCTCCATTGTGTTGCAGCGTGATATGCCTGCTTTTAAGCTTTGCAAAGTCTAAATAACTGAAGGTCAGGGTAGGAAGACTTTTCGAAAGTAAATCCATCCATGAGCCATGAGCGAGGGTCACTAAAACTGAACTATGTTATTGAGCCTTGCTCTCGTGTGTGTTAGTTTGTGCTTAATGGTGGGGCTAACTTAGGTATCTTGGAGCGTTAGACTATACCAGCCAGACGTTTCGCAATTTTTCGGTCATTTTCTTCCAGAGTTAGCCGTCCCTCTCGGGGTTAGGTACCGTCTTCGGTACTACCCAACGAATGCGATCGAACGAAGGAAAACGCAATGTGTATGATTTACCGACCTTCTTGCTCAATCATTTCGCCATCGTTCAATGATAATAATAATAGTAATAATAATAATGGAGCGGTCGTGTCTGGCCCAACGGTGTAATCGAATGGCAAGAAATCCTATTGTGCAGGGGAGGGGGAGAGAAGAGCGCAAAAAAAATTGAGAGGAACCCTTGGATGAACGGTGACGGCAACAACATAGTGTAAAAGTGCTAACAAATTTCCTGAGGAAACGGGGAAAAAGGAGCGGAACCACTAAAGATGTTGAGAGCTCGATCACTAACGGGGCCGAGCATAAGCCTTTTCTAACCAATCTGTCACAGCTTGTTATCGGCCTGCTAAGGAGTGGCCCATACGACGACCTGCGGAAGCACAGTAGTAAAATTCTAGCCTAGTAAGGCTATAAAACTGTGGACAAAATTGTAGCCACTTCCCAAAAAAAAAACCAAAGTAAAAAGATATTCATGCGAACGCAGAAACGACTACAGGACGACAAAGCAAGAAAATGTCTACGAATACTATTA